TTGGCTAAATAAGGCTAAATAATCCCATACATATACAACATAACTCCACAGCCTCTATCAGTACTGCATAAATTATATAGCTTCCTTCATATTAAACACAGTAGTGTACAGGCTTCGCATCATTAGTGGCAAAGCTCTGAAGAATGAAACATAACTCAAAGCATTTCTGGTATGGAGAAGCGCATTGACTTCCATCAATGCTGAGCAGTGTGAATTTAAGAGAAATCCATCAGAAGAACTGGGGGGTATAGATACGCATTTGGGTTTTTTAAACATATATATTTATATATTAAAGCTTCTCTGTAGTGCCCAGGTTATTCCCTCCACTGAAGATGAACTTGCAGTTCAAAGGCTGAGACCCTCGGTGGCAGCCCCTACCACCACCAGCCAGGGCTGACCGAACATTTCGGGGAGGCTCTGTTCAGAAAGAGCACACAGTATGGATTAGGATCAAAAGAACAAACAGAATTTGAACTACTCATCTTCTGCTGCACCATGAGGGTATTTTAAGTCTAAGATATGGGTTCATTCCTTGAACATCTTGCCAAAAAAAGAGTGTTGCCCAGCAACTACTAAAACAATGTTCTGGAAGGAGGTAGCTGCTGGACAAATTAACCCAATAAGCACCCCTTTTTCTCTGTGTTTCATGCAGCTACTGCAAAGCTCTGGATCCCTGGCAGCCGGCTCTGCATCCCAAATAAAGAGCTGTAAGGAATTTCCCAAGAAGGCTGTCAGACAGACTGCTTCGGTGTAGTAGCAGTGTCTTGCATTAAGCAAACACATTTGCGCAGCGCTACGTTCCAATACAAAACAAGCACAAATAAAACCTCTGCAAAAGCACGCACAAAATAAAAGAACACAGAACCAGCAGTGAGAGTCCAAAATCATCAGCCCTGGGCTCTGCTTCAGCTTCGCCACTATTGCTAGATCTGACTTTAATTTGCAAAATAGCTATCAGTCGCTGTGCATTTCAGTATGAATGACTACTAATGAAACGCTGGTGCTTTTAGCCTAGCTAGAGGGTCAGCGATAGTTCATATTTTCCACATAAATCCATGCATATTAAAAGAATGTTCATTTATAGTCACTATTCAAATGCCCAGTCATGCTCAAAGACAGCAATTAGAACAGTGATTCCAGCTTTATAAAATACATAAAATATCTTCTTTTGTCCAGAGCAGTGCAGATAACCAAGGAACTGTCACACACTTTCTTTTTTTGGACACTCACACAACTAGGATTATTTCCAGGAGTCTCATCTGTACACAGTATATTCAGACCAGTTAAGTAAA